TTTTGCCAACCACTTAATATATTGAATGTGACGTAGGATTGCTTGAGTGGAGGGGGGAATCACGTGATCTTTCACGATCATCATTCAACGAACACCATTTATTGTTTAAACAGCAGATAGAAGATTATTACGTCGTATATTTTCTTCTTAGTTTTTTTTTTCTTTTCATTTCATTCGATATTTTTTTGACTTAACCCCTTGAGTACTGAATTATTTAATAATTTTTATGCATATATATAATGAATTTAATTTGTTGCTATATGAATTAATATTTAAAAGTAATAATACATTTTATTTGTAATATATATTTATATTGGTGATATAAATATTATATATTTTTGCAATAACATTTCAATTAAAAAAATATAAATAAATTAAATATATATTTAAATGAAACAAAATAGAAATATTTATATATTTATCTAAGTTTCTTATAATTCAGATGAGACGAGTCAGACTCGTTCAACGTAACTTCGTTCAAGTAAGCAAATGACGAGTCTCACTCGTCAAATGTACTCAAAGGGTTAAACATTATCACTTCTCTCATTTCGTGATATACTCGACGAAATATACTTTTTTTTTTAATTTTTTCTTGTTGTTGTTGTTGTTGTTGTTGATGTGTGATGATATGTACAATAATACGCGTATGGGGTGTTAGATTGTTTTTACATAGAAATTACTTCATAGAATTCGTTTTGTTCTTTTTTCTTCTTTGTTTCACGATTCACGCAAAAGACGAATATAATAAAGATAATAATAATAATAATAATAAACAATTTGTTCTGTTTGTTTCTTCTTTTTTTTTTTAACCCCCATATTTGTATAATTTTAATATACGTAAAATACTTAACGAAACATTTCAAATTAGAAAAACACTCACGTGTTTTCATGTTTCTTATCACGAACAATATTTTCATGAGACACACATGACACACACACACGCACGCATTCATACACAAACACACATATACACTGATCTACCTCTTTCTACTCTCTACCTTCTCTCTCTTCCACCCACCACTTTCAATCATTTCTCCTTTTTTCTCCCCCTCTTTCTCGTAGCAATTCAGCCCACCTCTAAAAAGAAACAAAACACCTGGCGAATTTATTAATTTATTCGTGTGTGTGCGCGCGTGTAATTAATTTATTTTCTTTTTTTTTTTATATTTTTTTTTTATTTTATCCTCTCATCATTTAACTCGTTTTATAGATTAACACTAAGATTTACAGATAAATTTTGTTATCTTCAGTTTTATTTAATTAATTAATTAATTTACAAAATGTTATGTTTAAATGAAAGGGGGTTGTTGAGTAAAATGTACGAGGAAAAATAATTAATATTTTATGTATATGTTACATTCAAACCAATATATTGGTTTTTATAAAATTATGTTCAGAGAATTTATATGTATATATATAAATATTAATCAATTATTAATAATTAACAAATTATTATATATTTTATATAGAATAATTAAAATAATAATATTAATATAATATAATAAATAAAATAATAATAATAATAATAATATTAGATATTTTATATAATAATTATTATATTATAAAATAATGTGAAATTTATATTATTATTTTAATAAATTTCATAAATTAATAAAAAAACAATATTTATATTATAAAATAATAATATATAGAAATAATAATATTAATATAATATAATAAATAAAATAATAATAATAATAATAATATTAGATATTTTATAACAATTATTATATTATAAAATAATATAAAATTTATGTATTATTATTTTAATAAATTTAATAAAATAATAATAATAATAATATATATATATATATATATATATAATAAAATATTATATATTTTTTTTTTTATAAATTTAAGTAATTAAAACGTAATAAATATTTTACGTATGTATACACTTCATTCAAACCAATATATTGGTTTAAAAAAAAAAAATAATATTGCAACTTTATACACATATATACAGTCATCAACTTTCCTAATGAATCAAATTGTTTCATTCAGTCAGTAAATCTAGTGTCAATCTATTTCATTTTTAGGATTAATATATAAACCAAAATTTGGAAAAAAAAAACAATGAGATACAAGATAGATAAAGAAGTAGAAAATGAAAGAAAGAAATAATGGAAGAAAGAGAGAGACAGAGAGAGACAGAGAGATAGAGAGAGTTAGAGAAAAAAAAGTAGGGTTATGTCAAGTTTGTTTTTTTTTTCTTTTTTTTTTTTTTTTGGTATTTTTGATAAGAGAAAGATAAAAACGAGATGTTTCCTCAAGATGTTCGAAGTTATGAGGTCAAAGATGACGCGGTGGGCACCAACTACGACCGGTTAAAGTCATCTGGACTCGCTCGTCGAATGTACAGTCGGTTCTGATCCTGGATCCTGGTCTGAGTCTTCCATGGAAACGCCCTGCTGCTGTTGTACACGCATTGTACAACTTGGACTTCTCTCGCTTCTGTTAAATCGAAATCAAACAAGAAGAAAAAAAAATAAAAAAAAAAAAAAAAAAGGAACAAAACGTGCCTTGATTAGATAAGAAATTTTATTTTATTTTTTTTTTATTTTTTTTTTTTTTCTTATCATTTTCATCATTTTATTAATTTATTTTTTTATTTATTTATTTATTTCTTCTCTGTCTTCGAATGTGTGTGAAGGAAATGTTTTTTTTTTTTAATATTTTTGATGAGAAAATCGATCGGAGAAGGAGAAAGAAAGAGAAAGAAAGTGAGATAGACAGATTAGATAGAAAGAGAGAAAGTTTTTTTTTTTTTTATAAAAAAATAAAAAAAAATAAAATAAAAACACACACACGCGCACACTTATTACAATAAATATTACATAATATTCTTTTTCTCTCTTACAAATCTTAACTTAACTAAAGCAGGAATTTATTTGGACCATGTTTTTTTTTCTTCTTATTTATTTATTTATTTATTTATTATTAATATTAATATTAATATTATTATTATTATTATTGTATTATATATATTATTATTGTTCTTATTATTATACGTGTATCGAGAGGAGTTAGAAGAATTTGACTTTCTTTGTGAAATTAGAAAGAGAGATAAAGAAAAGGAAATAAAATATAAAAGTAGAAAGAGAAAGAAAGAGAGAAAGAGAATTAAAGAGAAAGAGAGAGAGAGAGAGAGAGAGACAATTAATAATTAACAATAATTTGTTGCTTCACTTCTCCGTTCGAAATATCAGCGAAAACTGTGTGTGTGTGTATCAAATAATATCCAATTGTTATGTTTGTATATGTATGTATGTATGTATGTATCAATTAGTATGCAATTTCATCCTAGGACATGTGTGGTATTTGTGTGTATCAATTAGTATGCAATTGTTATGCTTGTACCT